TTTACAATAAATATGTTCTCGGCTTCGCGCTACCGTATAGAACACCCCAGCCTTGTGTAGAGGAACAAGAAAATGAGTCACTGAGTGCCTTGTATATAAGTAGGAAAGTTACAGGCGAGGATCTCGATGTGGGAAAAAACACAGACGATGGTGGAGTGTGATGTTGGTGCAAAAGCGCAGTGTTCGGTCGCAGAGGGTAACGATGACACACAGGGAGCAATCAAACAATGATATCGGTTGACTTAGCTTAATTAAAATATTCTTGTATATTTTTAATGCCACGCTCTGGTTGATTTAAAGGAGAGGCTCGATTCGGTAACTAGATTCGCCTAGTCCACGTGGGACACAGTACCGGTTAGTTATGCTCCTCTTGGTGTTGCATGAGTCGAAAGATAATCGTGAGATGTAGCCAAACTGATTGTGGAGTAAAGTCACTACATATATCTTCTTGAAGGGTCTAAGGAAACCATTTTTTGGTAGCAAATATCACGGTTTGTCAATTTCGATTATCTACTGGGCTAGACTGTTCCTATAATTTAAGCGAAACTTAAGCATTACTATTTCTACTTGGAATGACCAACTTCTCAATTCTTATGTCATAAATAGGATTATAGTTTATAAAGGAACTTGATTATGTATTTTTTAACCTCACCTAACTATGCCTACATCTATAATTAAAAAATCTCTTTACTTTTACTTTTCCTGATGTTCAGAAGCCGACGTTTACAGGAGTATCTGCGTGGTGGTATTGTTGGCACTTTTTTTGCTTCTATTTTTCCTTCGTACGCCATTAACCTCGCAAATATAGAAGCCGGTGAGCCGCTTCCTTCACTCAGTCAAGGATCCGCATTTCCTGAAGTTAACGGTGTTCATCGTGGTGGTGACGAGCACGAACACATTGACTTGACACAGGCCATCTCAATCCCGGCTAGACCAACCCCAGAAACTGCTTCCTCAAGTGGCGCGGTTCCTTCTAGCCATTCTTTTGAAGGTGTGTTACCCTTCTACAATTTGGTCTGACTTTGACTAGATAAATAAATTTGCAGGCGATTATCTACAGATGTCTTGCATGCGTCATTTAATTTTACTGAGGTTTAACCGAAGAGGAATGATAAAGCTGGTTATTTTTATTTCACTGTTTTTGTTCTTTAATACATTTTTTCATCTTCGCTTCCAGATTTGTAGTCACAGTGAATTTAGGAACAAGTTCAAATGGGCTCAGTTTCTCATTTTCGATGTGAGTTTTGAGACTATCCTTAATTCTTGAATAAGAGCATAGTTATCTTGGGTCGCTTAAGGTTATTTAAGTACAGATAGTTGAGTTTTCTCGCAATGAGATGAGTAGTCTTCACGATGTTATTGAACTTCACTTGGTATCGTTTCCAAAAAGACTATCTTATCCAAAGCAGACTGCAATTTCG